TTTTGCAAATTGCGTACTAAAAAATTAAATTTTAATTATAATATTTACATGTTTTTATACTGTTGTTCACGGATTTGTATTGTCATCGTAAAAAAGGAAATAATTTTTTTTCCCAAAAATGTCAATCGCTATAAATTAATATAATTTATTATTTCACGTGAATTAGTAAAATTAATCGTATAATTCCGACTTTCCGGGAATAATACGAAAATTAGGATACTTTGAATTTATCTGCGAATGTCGTGTTGACGACGAGTTATTTTAGTCAGTCGTCTGCTGACAGATAAATGATCAAAGCGCCATGCCCTAGTTAATTGATAATCAATACTGAAAATTTAGTCTAATCAGAAACTTGTCGAAATGAATAGCAGTGACCGAAAATTTCCGCAGTTATCATGCAGTTGTTATCTACGAGTATTTATTTCGTACAAATTTTTTATTTTATGGTGATGTGATATTTTTAGTTTATAGTTTTTTTCATAATTATTTAACTACGATGAACAAATTCGGGAAAACAAACTTAATTAAGAAAAATGAAAAATAACATGCAACAACAGCGTGGCAATATTAAAAGTCATTAAATAAATAATTTATTTTTTTAATATTTATAAGAAAGCACAAATATTCTAAATCGTACATTATTTGTTTAATGCCAAATTCTTTAATTTATATCTTCGTTAAAATTGTCTGCTTTTAAGTATTTAAAATTAGTTTTCTATAATTCTATGATTTTTCAATTTACGCTCTTATGTCACACACAAATTCTTAATTTATGGAAAGCGAATAAAAAAAGTATAATTGCGATGAGAAAACATTAGTCTTAGAAGTCACGTCACAATGTCTTACATGTGATAGTACGTGATAGTATCGAAGAAAGGGGGCTGCGTACAACCACCCCTTTCAACCCGAAATAAGCACCGCCCTCAAAGAGGTAGTAATCCCCACTATACTCGGAATATGGTGGAGGCATCGGAGCTTTCCGATGGAGGAGATTCACGATTAAGTCGCGAGCTACCGTGGACTATTGTGTTTCGTTTTGCTATACTAAAGAACCAAAACCATGAGCGTTTTGGGCGCCCATTTTTTGCGAAGAATTATTAGAAATTAGTCCCATCTCAATAACATCCGTAGATACCGGTTGACATCTCGCGCATTGGTGTCTCACAAATCTGTGACGAGCATTTCGGTAATTTATCGTTCCGCGCAGAAGAGAAACGAATTATGAAGTGCTACGTAGAATGCAAAAACTCACGCGGTTCTTGAACAAACTGTATGCAAATGAAGTGATATTTATTTCATGCGTTGATCATTCATTCACGTGATAATCGAGTTTGCGAGTCGGTTATGTATGTTATGCGATGAAGTGTCGTTCTCGTCTTATTCAGACATTCTTCCGAGAGTGATCGAGGTTCGCTAAGTTTTATTTCACCGCTATGGAATTTTCATGGGCGCTTCAGCATCAGTCGAATGATCAGAACGGACGGAATCATCATCCGGGCGATCATCACGAAGACGCGAATATAATCGGTCAAGTGAACGCTCGTCGATTGCTCGGCGTGGCAGGTAATCGAGTATTAGCATGTAATTTGTATAAGCGGCAAGGAGTGTTTTTTTTTTAATACTTTATGTATAATATTGCACGTTTTAGCATTCGCGAGCGTTTGATAGAATAGTATATTATTTGCAATATAAACGAATAAACGAATTGAATGATGTTCAGTAAATTTTTCATAAACGAAAATAGGCTATCGATCATTAACATGTTGATTAACGATGCTAATTTAAAAAAAAAATCATAAAGCGTAAAGCAATGAAGTTAATATAAATGGAGAAATCATAATTGTGAAATTTACCATTGTAAATTGACCGACCACATTTCCGCGAAAGAACGGAAGAGCGCAAACTCTCTCTTATAAAGAAGGAAATAATTTTTATTTATTGCAAAAAGATGGAATGTGTGAAGGAAATATTAATGATATATTCGATGAAGTTATTAATGCGTCAATGCTATTTTTTTTCTTATGCCTCGGAAATTGGTTTCCTCGTATTCGTTAGAAATAAATCTTTTTTTCAGAGAATATTGGGAAAAGTCTCGCGTATAAATGACTCTTGATAATTTACTGTATTTTCAGCTTTTATCCCTTTCCGAAATTTATTGAATTTAAAAAATAATTGAAGGAATAGTGCCAATACTTATTGTTTTATTTCCAAGATATTCTGTAATCAGAATCTTTTTGTTTTCTAGAACTTTTTATTATTTTAATATAACATTTTAATTTTTGAAATCGTGCCATTCATATTTATTTATATTTTGCATTGATTAATTCTACAATAAATTACTAGAAACATTTTTTTAAGCAAAATTATGGAAATAAATTTTAGCCCTCTATGTAATTCCAGTCTCTTCGATTAATATATCTTATTCTATTTATCTGTTTAAACCGGACATTCTATATCCATCGTTTAAACGATCGTATTGTTAATTCACGATGACATTGTTATCGTGTTCGGGACAACATGTGTCGAATGTCGACACGTTCGCGATCACGAACAGCGGTTTAACACCTGCGACCTGTTTGGGGGTCCTCCCCTCGAAAGTCTCTTAATGGCCGTGAAAGAAACGCTGCACCCTGCTAATCGTTTGGGACTCAGGTGGGATTCAGGTGGGTCGGATTCGTATCGCCGCTCGCCGGCAGCTGCATCAAAGCCGGCGATTAACACAGGGGTGAAGTCGACGGATCCGACGGTGGTTCGATTAACTTCCTCAGTTTAAACGTTCACGATACAATCGTGACAACGCGTTTACGCGTGTTGCAAGGGTAATTTTGATGCGTCAATATCGCTTTCTATCGCTGTGCGTATCACACAGCGGTTCGACGCGGTAAACGCGCATCGTATTCCATCGCGAAGGATGAAAGCCGACCAATTTTCATAGACTAGTCGTCGCCGGACGCCGATGCGTTTCTATTTACCTCGCCGGAGAAAGTAGTCGACGGTCCGACACACGTCGAAAGTCTGTATGCATGGGCGGTTTTTTTTTTTATGTCGTTCGGGATATTCGATCGATTCGGAATGGCGCAATTATTACGCGATTGTTTTATACACAGCTGGATGCACTTTAATTGAAATCAACATTCTTATACATCGCGAGCCACGAGAAGAAACGTATATAATTGTGCTCGGTGAAAGTCATCGCAATTAATTTGCCGCGAGAAAAAGCATTATTTGCAATGTCTACCTTTTTGAAATTTGCAAAGAAAGAGGAAAGCTTATTTGCTATAAAGTTTGCATTCAATAGACGGATGAAATCAATATATTCTGATAGATTTTGCAGTAATTTTTTAATTTTTGATAAAATTATTCAAAAAAGTGTAGAATGTGCAAATACTTTGCTTGTCTTTTACATGAGATATTTATACATCTTGAAATTATATGTATGCATGTTAGAAAATTCTGCTCCGAAGGCACGGAATAATATAATCGGCTATTGTAATATCCATGTATTGATATCGACTCGATAATTTATAACTATGCGCATGGCGCATATCTAGCGTAATGATATTCAGATTTAAACTGCCTCCCATGCTTAACGGGGGCGGTGTTTGGTCGATACCTCAATAAAGGGTTGGCTGGCAACGACTCATCTACCATCAACTCACCCCTCCAATCCTTCTCGTAGACGCTAAACACTGTGCGCGTCCTTAAACGTTATTTCGTTTGGTTATTTAAAAATGGTAGTTTTTGTTATGTTTAAATGGCGAGGAAATAACATTTAAGGAATGTTTCCAAGAGAAATTATTAGATTTCAGTCAACATTTGTTCGAACACTATTAAAAATTATTTTTTTGTACTTTTATAAATTTTTTGTAACATTAATTTGTAATGTAATTATTTCTTCGTAATATTAAATAATTTATTAAATTATTATTATTGCTCGACTATAACATGTGGAAAAGCTTTCGGCGAGACAATACGACGCGACGTTACATCTCGTTATTCACTTGAAAAGAGTCCTCTTGGCTCCCAACGCTCAATGTCTGTGAATGTTTGGCCGGAAATAACGTATTATAATCCTTTGAGCTTGTAGTCTTAAGCGCTTAAATACATGCAAAGTACCCGCATCCCTACACTTCAAAACAAGAGTATTAATGTCGATTGTAAGAATCGGTGACTTTGACTACTTTGCGATTTTTTAGACTTCGCCAAATTATTGGCGAAGTCATTTCTTCCCACTTTGCGTGGAGGAATTTATAAATATAATAAATCACTTTCTACATCTGTATCTAAAAGTGAACATTTCGGCGGAATTTAGGAACAGTCATAAGATTCGGAAAAACGAGTTGTCCGTTTTTCCTCGCTCGTTGACGCTCTGCTCATTCAACTGCGTCGTCCGTGAATCGCAATCATCCGTGAAATTCGTTCGTTGTTCAATAAAACAACTTTCTCCCTTGCCAAAAACTTACCGGGAGTTATATACTTACAATGCGCCTTACTTGAAATCTCTTTCTCACCGAAGATGCTCCTCTCACAGAGGCCTCTTGCACCTTATGACGCAATGAGTGACGACAGCGGCGGACGCATCTGTGCGAAACGCGCAACAATTTTGTGATATTCATAATTACACACTGTGTTATAATGAATATTGCTGAAATGGATGATAGTACTTCTGACTTTAATTGGATATAATGACATTACATGTACTTAACAAAGATAATTTGCTCTCATCTCAATGCAAAAGTTTTTTTCTCCGTGTTATTATTTTTTTAAATATGTGTAAAAGATTTGTTATATGTTATTCAATTATTATATTTTTACAAATAATTGTACGGATAATATTCGGATAACATTGTAACGAGAATACTCAAATAATCCAACCGTATTAAATGAAAAAATTAAAGCTCCGCTTTAATTATATATCATCTTTTTCATTCGTTATCTATAATATTATCCGAATAAAATTTTGCTCTGTTACTACGATACTAACTGATGATTTTTTTCAGGTCGTAATGATTTCGTCGGGGGGATAGACAACGAGGCCTTGGATTTTTCGCAATTGGAGGACTTTATTAACAGCGACAGTGAACAACCTGCAACGTAAGTTTAAAAAGCATGAATTTTAAATTTCTGCATCATTATTATTTATTTCTGTGCTATCTCTGTCTTGTCGCGACTTGCGTCGGCTTAAAAAAAAAAACTTAATTGAACGAGAAACCTGATCTGAGGCCTCAAAGCATTCTGGTGACGCAGAGTTTAACTATATTCGGAAGCCATGGTTAACGCCTACAAATGCGCGTGTTCGTTGAACGTGCACAATGCGTATCGCCAACGCACTAATCGCAAGCTCCAATTGTCATTTCTCAGTGCAACGCTTTTATTTATATTATTAATTACATAGTCATGTTATGTACAGGATGTTCCAGACTCCAAACCTGGGACACTTTTATATTTTACATTATTTTTCAATCCGTTCTCTTTATGATATAAAATAAAATTAATTAAATGGATTGGCTTACCGGCATGATGCAAATCAACGGAGTTGTTGACAAGTTGATCTGCAACACACAAAGTACACTTAAAGTGTAGCAGCGTTGAAAATAATTATTTGAGAAATAATTATTACGCACATTAAACTTTTACTCATCTTTTATGCAAATATCTATTTCTCAAATGATTACTTTAAACGCTGCTATAATTTGGATGTACCTTGTATGTTGCAGATCAACTTGCGAACAACTTCGCTGCTGCGCACCGGCGTGCCGGTGAGTCAATCCAGTTTGGTTTTATTTTAATATTATTAAGAGAAGGGATAGAAAAATAATGTATGACGCTCTATATACATTTAGTTTGCAGGCGCACTTTGGATTCATTGATAATTCTATAAACTGGAATTGTGTAGTCATGAGGTGTTTCAGAAAATATGTGGCGAGCGTGCTATTTAAGAAGACGCGTAGAAGCGCATTTTCTGCGAAAACATACTCGGTGCCATCCACGTTTATAGGCGCCCCTTTCAAATTATGCTAATTAACGAATTCAGATAACACGCTTTTGCCGTTCAACAGCACGAGCGCGCGTTTCCTGCGAGAGCGACGCGACGTATCAGGCTAAATTTCTAAATTGCTCCATCTCGACGCTATGTATCCAGGCTATTCTACCAGCACGGCATGGCGATTATCATAGGAATGCTTACTATGCTTTAACAATATTATTCATATTTTATTAACGGAAACCACTGTGATGTTTTCAATTTGTCACTCTCCTTCTTTCTTTCTCTCTCTATTAGAATCTCTTTATAAATATTATATATAATATTTATATTAGACTTAGGAAACTCAAGATTTGGCACTCTAAATAAAAGCAACAACGCACGAATCTACCGAGCAGAAGATTCTCAATTTTCTATTTAGCTTGGGGCATAAAAGTGTCTCATCCCAGACCTGATCGCTCTTCTACTGACGTAACCGCGTACACCAGGAAACGCATCTAGCTATTCTTTACACGCGCACTGCCGCATGTATACGCGTACGTGTACGGTTTAGCCCGCAGACATATATCCGTGCAGATAGCGCGACCGCAGAGGTGTAATGATATAATGACAGAGGCGGACAGAACGGAATTGATAGAATCACAGCATGCACAGCGCTAACCCTGCTAATCCGACTTCCAGCACTCGTCTTCCATTAAGAGACACTCGGGATCCACGCAGTTGGTTAGAATTAGTCGAAAAAATTTTACTTATCTCCACTCGAATGCGAAACGTCACTCATTTAAATGGCATAATATTTATCATATTTGCGTCCCAAAATATTAAATTGTCAAAAATAGGATATTAATATATATATATATATATTGCATTTATTTATTTTTATTTGCTTTTATGTGGAATTAAATTTATTAATTTATTTTAAATATTGAATATTTCTTTTTTTAAAATTATTAATGTCTTTTTTAGTCTTCACAATTCATGATAATTGGACTCTCCAGCACACACACACTCTTCTTCCGTTAAAAAGTTACCATGAGATCACGACAAAATTTGTGATTCAGCAGACCAAAATTTGGTGATACTCGAACGCGAAATGTTATTTATTCAGTAACAGTAAATGTTAAATCGTATATATTAATGTTCAACGTGTTCAACTGCTTCTATATTGATTTATACCGATTTTTTTGTATATGAATAAATTCTGATAACTTTAGGTATTATGAATTTTTTCTCTTCTTAATTATTATTATTTCTATTTCTGTTATTTCTTCTGGCATCGCGAGATGCATATTTTGATATGACCACGTGCCTGCATCGTGATCAATACGCAACAGATATGTTATTTAAAGAAACATTAGTTAGATAGATAAGAGGAGAAAATTTATAATAACAACGCAAACGCAATGTAATTGGAACTGTTGCTTAGAGAAAGAAGATCCACTTTACAAGAGTGCTCACTTTTTTTTACAGTTCTAATTACGTTAGTTGGATAACAATGCAAAGTAATACGCGAGATAAAAGGACATACGCAGAAATTCGTGCGGCATAATAGGGAAAACAATACTCGATTATAATTTTTATTGAAAGAATCAGGAATTTCCATCCAGCTGACAACGTAATTGTGTTATGTAATGAATAAGGTATATTTTGCGTTACTTTTTAATGTTAATCTATAGAAATTGCCGATCGTTATCGGACAAGTTTCCGATTATTTCCCAGTTGGTGATTCGTAGAAAATTCATCGGACAAAAGTGTAAATCGTCGCCAACGCTTCCTCAATTCGATGGAAATTGCATAATAACACCCGTACACTGCGCGATTACAGCCTCGAGATTTCTACGAGTAAAGAAAACTCGCGAGTCGGCGACGCATTATTTTTCCATGGAATTAACGCGAGAAACCGTGATTCACGATAACGATATCTCGTGTTTTGCAAATCCAGCATGCAATCGCAGTCTCGATACTTGCTTGTCGAAGGATCAATAAAAGAATGTTGATGTAACATACACACCTCGAGTTAAATATCTACAAGATGGCCTGCCTCTTATATTTTATTTTTTAACAACAGATTTTTTTTTCTCAGCAAAAATATCAAAGCATCAATAATTTCGAGCGATGAGCGATTAATAGAAAAAAAGATTTCTCACAAACTAAACGTCAGAAAGATAAATAAGTGTCAGAAACACATTTTTTTTAATTAGACGAGTTTTACTCGGAGTTTGTTTTATTAAAATCTGACACTCAGCTGACAAAGATGTGATGACGCGAATGATGACTCCGACACTTTTGCTGAGAAAATATTGGCTTCAAATTGGCCAAAGAATTTGTTACATCTTAATGCTGCAAAATAAATATAAATTTCCACTTTTTAATAAATAACAAGATAAATAATGGGAATGAAAATAGTGAACAGCGCCTAGATATTTTCTAGGAGAAGTAAGAACTGTGTGAAGATGTTAGAAAGATCGTGATCGTGTCTAACTCTGCGTTAGATATTTTGCGGACACTCTTGCCCACAACGAAAATGGGGGTGGAACGACGTCTCACAACGGCCGCATCGAACCACCGACCTCGCAACCGGTCGGACAGCAGCAGCCACCGCCGCGATTACCCTCGCCGCAGATGACGCAGGCTCATCCAGTCTCGATAGCGTGCGCTTCCGGTACCACGACGGTGCCTAATAACAACGGCAGCTATAAAGACCCGCAGTCGTATGTTCACCCGTAAGTTTAAACTCATACGAATGATTCAAGCCGTGATGTCCGCCCCATTTTCATTGACATACACAGTTTGTTGTATTTTTCAAACAAAAACAATAAGAAAGTTTTTGATGTTACAAGCACGCGAATAATCGCGATGTTTATGATGACTCCGACACTTTTGCTGAGAAAATATTGGCTTTAAATTGGCCAAAGAATTTGTTACATCTTAACGCTGTAAAATAAATATAAATTTCTACTCTTTAATAAATAACAAGATAAAATCGCTACGATAAAATCGCGACGATTCAGTGCAACATTTATCTTCCTATATTTTTCTCAAGAAATTAAATTTGACAGAATTATGTTGGTTTTTAATTAATAAAGATTTTGAATTACATTGGAATAAATGTTAATAAAGAAGAATAATGTGTAAAACTTTAATATTTATAGAAGATTATAAATGTTATGCATGGCTTTTGTTTAAATTTGACAACAATTATTTAAACTAGAAAAAGTAATTATTAAAACGATATTTAGCTCGAAGATAATTATTATTAATTAAGTCATATTTGGCACTAAGCAATAAACCGTTAATACATTATTTCTTTTTCTTTCCATAAAAAAAATAAATGTTTTAATTTGCTTTAAAAAAAAACGCTTTAATTCGCTTTTTGAGAAACAGAGATAGAATTTATTTAAGATAAAAGCTAATAGAAAATTCATTTACGTCAAGCTGATATCTCGATGAAAATCTAGAACATCGTGTTTTTCAGACACGCGTTGCCGGAAAGTCCACCGGACAGCGGAAGCGAGCCACCGTATTCACCGCCAGGACATAATGACACTCAGCACGTGCATTCGCCACGTAAGTCTAAATTATATAAGAGTTATTTTAATGAGCGTGTAGAATTGTGTAATTTACAATTGTGTATAATTACAGATCAAAAAGCTGCCTTGCAGGAGATACTTTTGCATCACCAGAGCAACCAGTACCCGTCGAATTTGTTGCCGCCGTCCCCGAGAGCGTTGCCTGCGACAACAGATCCTCTACTGTTAACACCGGTCTTGACGCCCCATCTGACATCGGGAACGACGAATATCTCGACGCAGCCTCAGATAGGACCGTCTTTGGTACAGTTGTCGCACGAGCATAGTCCACCCGGCATCAACACCCTCTATTCCTCCCTGCAATCGGCTCCAAAAAAGAGAAAACTCAGTCAGGATGGTCTCATTCACGTTAAACAGGTGAACTCCTTTGTTCGTAAATTTATATGATCGTTTTTTTTTCTTTTTTCCGTTTCTAACGTTCTTGCGTATTATTATTCAGGAACCTGAATTGGGTACTGTGGAACACAGCTGTAGTAGCAGCAGTGCGGTACTCGATGGCGACGAAGTCGCCGACAGTAATTATATCGACGCTAGTTATCAGTGCATTCGGTTCCACCCTTTCCAACAGACATCCTGGCACGTTCTTTGCGATCACAATCTCAAAGAGTTACCGGTACCGCATTACAGGGTGGACGCCGACAAAGGTTTTAATTTTAGCAATTCGGACGACGCATTCGTCTGTCAGAAAAAGAATCATTTCCAGGTAAAAGGGCGATGTCTGATAGTTCGTACTAATAGAACAAAGTATATCGCGAGCTTAAGAATGCATTTCTCTTTGAATCTGGATATAGCGATGTGTTGTCGAAATTATATATAAGTTTTCGCCGTGTAAATGCATTCTCTTCAATTGCACTTGCGCTTTCAGATAACGTGTCACGCGCAACTTCAAGGAGAGGCTGTGTTCGTTCGAACTGGCGAAGGTCTGAAAAAAATCAGCGGTTTCCAACTGCACTTTTACGGGGTGAAAGTGGAATCGCCGTCGCAAACTATCAGAGTCGAACAAAGTCAAAGCGACAGAAGCAAGAAGCCATTTCATCCAGTAACGTGAGTTGTTTGCATAAAAGGAACAATATACACGTACCGATAGAACATAATTAGATATAATTGAATTACATCTATGATAGATATTGTGTTAACAGGGTCGATTTAGGCGGCGAGCGTGTTACGAAAGTGACAGTCGGCCGTTTGCACTTTAGCGAGACGACGAGTAATAATATGCGCAAGAAGGGAAAACCGAATCCAGATCAGAGGTATTTTCACTTGGTCGTTGGACTGCACGCCCATACCGCAGACCAAGCCAGTTATCAAGTGGTGGCTCACGCGTCGGAACGTATAATTGTCAGGGTATGTAAATCAGCGGAGAGGATAGTTCTCTCACCGACACCGGGATTGATTCTCATACATTCTAGGCGAGTAATCCGGGACAGTTTGAATCGGAAGGCAGTGGCGTAGGTGCTGAAGGTGGATGGCAGAGAGGTGCAGCCCCGGACAGCGTGTATCATGCCGGTAGAGTAGGAATTAATACGGACAGGCCGGACGAGGCTCTCGTTGTGCACGGCAATATGAAGGTGCGCGAGTTTCGAATGCGTTAACTCTGAAACAATCTGGACATTTTTACGTACTAATGAAGATTTGCTATGAATTTATTACTTTTTTATATTTGTAATATTTGTGAGTAAATATAATTACTGACAGTTAATTTAGTATTATTAATTTATAAATATAAAAATAAATGGGAAGCAAAGAAATATATTTGAAGTTGCAAGTATTTATATAGAATGCAAATATATTTTCTTTTACATTTGTTATTATTGGTATTACAAATGTGTACAATATAGGATGCTGTCCACTCTTTAAATTTATTTCTTTTCTTGTTCAATTTCTTCTCAAAAGCTTCGACTGCATCGATAATATATTTATGAATTATTTCACGGGTGTTGTGTAGCTGTTTAAAAGATAAATCAAATGTTAACTCGTTCAATTGATTGCAGGTTACAGGGCATATCGTTCAACCTAGCGACGCGAGAGCGAAGCAGAGCGTTCAAGAGGTGGATACGCGTGAACAGCTTCGAAACGTCCAACAACTGCGCGTTGTTCGTTATCGGTACGCGCCGGAATTCGCGCAGCACTCTGGTCTGGATGTCAAACAGGAGGATACTGGCGTCATAGCACAGGAAGTTCAGCAAATTTTGCCGGAAGCGGTGCTGCCGGCCGGTGATATAGTTCTACCAAATGGCCAGAGAATCGAAAATTTCTTAGTGGTGAATAAAGAGAGGATATTTATGGAGAACGTTGGCGCCGTCAAGGAATTATGTAAGGTAAGATTCTTACAGGTTCTTTCGCAGTTTATTAAATCAAGTTTAACCGTTTGACTACTATGGAGGAAATTATTTATCTTCCAACACAGAAATATAGTGTTACATAATAATGTAATATAGATATTTAAAAAATAAGAGGAAAGTTTACGTGGCAAAAAAATTTTGCTGGCGCTATAATTTGTAGGTAGAAAACGAAAGAATATATCAGTCCTTGGTGGCCAAACAGTACACACACGTATAACGAATTATTTACAGGTGACAGATAGTTTAGAAACCAGAATAGATCAGTTAGAGAGAATAAATAAACGACTGGCAAAGTTGAAAAGAGGGGATAGTCTAAAGAGTTCCATCAGCACGGTGTCTAGTATATCAGGCAACAAATATTCATCTTCTATCAATAACAATAAGTCATCATTGCACGGCAAGACGAAAAGGCTCGAAAGAGAGGAAGAGTTTCTCTGCAGTAATAAATTCATTCAGATTATCATTGTTATACTTATTCTCATCATGGCATTTTGGTAATTATTTATCTTGTTATTTTCTTACTTTGATCAGCATTTTAATTACAGATATAATTAATCGACGTTACAATTTTTAGCCTAGTTGCAATGGCAACTTTATACTTCTTAGAGTACCAAAAACGCAGCAGCATCGAATGGTCCACCATGGCTAGCAACGGAATGCTGGCTATCGGTCCAGCTCATCCGCCGGCGTTATCCACCACTTCGAATTATGAGCACCGATATAATTCGTTGCTGCATAGCACTCTATCTCCTTTATATACTAAACGCGGATCTTCTACAAGGGGATCAGACGGAGCGTCCATCAAAAGCAATTCTCTCACCACGCCGACTCCGCACACGAAACAACAAGTGTATACTCAGGAAATAACGCGATATCCGAGCCATCCAGGTCCCCAACCTAAACTTGAGAAAAACAAGTCAGTAAAATATTTATTAATGTTAACGTCGCGAAGAGGCATCTGGCAGCAGATTCGTTGAACTGTCGTTTTCATGTTTCAGTGAATTTCCGGGAAATTGGCTCAGCAGAAACGGTGCAGGCGCTGTTCCCAGTAACGTGGACGAAAACGATCAAGGCTCGGACGTAGATTCTTCATCCGCCAGCAAAGGTCCGGTTCCTATAGGAAGACCCGAGGAATGTCCTGCGCATTTTAGCGAGCTCGAAAGCCCATGTCAGGTACTTGAGAATTTTTTGATACAACTATTTGACAAAGAGCGTTATTAATACATTGCCAACTTATTATTCAGAATTATTCAGAAATTTTCTAAACTTGAAGACACACGTATTGATGATATTGAAACTGTGCGATCAGCGTCCAGCGCGTCAGATTATTGTGCGATTGGCAAAGTGTTAAATATATGGATACATTATATTTATTACTAAATAAATCAAGTAAACTTTATTTTCTGTAGGTATATTGCTGCACAACTGAAATTCATCAATTGGAAGATCTTCAACCCGATCACCCACCAGAAAAGAAATCAATCTGTAAGTGTTTACATTTGAATTTTTTAATTAAAGCATACGTAAATGTTATGTTTTATATCATTCGAACTTGCACTGTGACTTGCACTGTTCTGTAACAGATTTTATTCTATTCTAGCAGACCACCTGGAGCAGCCATTAAGCATGCCGCATGAAGAGAAACGAAATTAAGCAAAGGTTTCCAAAATGGCATCAGTCCGTCCGATCCCAGTACTCAGACTCTTGTGAAGGAGGTACAGATTTTCCGCGAGACTCAATTGTATTAAATATTTCGTGATAAAGGCAAATCCTATTTGCCTAATTAAAGCCTATCTTGCAGACCAATTACAAGTATTTGCATAAACGGGCGAGGCGAGAAACTGGCGGTGGGGATTGGGGCGAAGTCGCCAGCAACGCCGCAGGATCGTTGCCACCGGAGCCTAGACCGCAATTATTCATAGTAACGAAGAAGTTTAATACCTCTTTAGATCACAGATACTGCTCGCCGTCATCGCCGGACACACCCAACAACATCAGCTGCATTGTACCTTTATCAAAACACATGCCGGACATGCATTTAACATTACATTTTGTGTAAGCTTAGAATGTGTGCTTTATGATGTTACTCCGTACTGATTTTTGACAGTGTGTTATAGTTACGATTTTTTTGTTTTTACAGCGGCATGCCGTGGTATTGGCAGATCGTAACACAATGTCCCGTTTTGTCGAGCCCCGGCATCGATGAGACAATAGTGTGCAGTTGGAACTATGCTTTACCGCAACAAGCTCAATATATCGAGAACAACCAACCGGGTGACCAGACATTTTCTCTCGACGTCGCTCATTACCTCAGGAAGACCTTAAAGTATCGAATACCCACGATGCAACCTCAAGAGGTATATCAATGCTATTTATACATTAAATGATTTTTCAGATTTTTCACGATACATCAGACATGTGCTTATTAGTTCTATCGAATAATTTTCAAGATAACATCTCGTTTAACATCGAGCTAATCATTGTATTATTTTATTTACAGAATATTTGTAAAAGTAAACATGGCGTTGACTATTTGGAATTTACATTGCACTTTTATCGAGACTGCGAGGAACAATGAATCTTTTTTTCCGGCATATACAGTGCAATCTGGTGAGAAACTTAATATTAAGTTTCTAATAATCTAAAAAAAGTTGGATTCTCCGCAATTCCCTATAAAGCCTCTGTGCCTTTGTAATCTGTCCTCTGCTTTCGTAGTTTATAGTACACTTGTATTTTATATATCATTATAAGCCCAGACAGAGCCGAGCCTATCAGACAGAACAGATTGTGCAGAGTGCTGCTACAAATTTTATCGGCGGAATGCCAGCAGAAATCTAACAGCATCCGCTGAGACAGAATACAGTAATAGATTGACGATAGAAATGAAATTTAAATGCTTACGAAACGACAGACAGCATCTGTTATCAAAATCTGCCATTAGATTATATCAACAAACTCTGCTAGCAAAACTTAAGCTTAATGCAGACACGTTGACGCCAATAGGTTTCAATATTCGATCGAATTTACTGCTGGCATACTGCTAAATTTTGCTTACTGGGGCATAGTATATTATTTACTGATATAAAGGTAAAAATATATATGATTTATAACTCTAATTATAATGTAACGCATATCGTATCATGCAAGAAATTTCTCTAGGTATTGTATACGAAGATACACAACGCAATTATCTTACTCATTACAGAGTCGATAGCAATAATGACAAACCAGCAACTGAGTAGTGTTTGATGGGTGCACCATTTTTCACTGTGTTTGCATATAGAATTGCGTGTTTTCACAATATATCTCAGAATAGTAACTTGTTTTAATTACACATATTTAATTTTATGGAAGCTGTCCGTAAAATTAAATATATATTACATTTGGAAATTGTCCAAAAAATTAAGTCAGAAAAGATATATTACTATCATGTGCATTACGAAATGTATATACTGTTTAAATATCAGTTTTACACCCATTGATTGATGTAGATACACATATATATTGTATATATATTTGTATCTACCATATATCTTCTAATTTATTATATTAATAGTTTCCTACGAGAGAAACTTATACTCAAGATCCAGCCGTTTTGTGAACGTATATTTCTACACGTACAGCATATTGAATTATGCTTAGCATATTCAACATAAATCTTTTACGTAGTCGACATTTACTTTTTGATACTGATTTACAGAAGTAGTCTTATTGTATAAAACGTAATATTTGAAATTACTAATTGCTAACGACATTTCAGACGCTTGCAAAGCTGAATAAGCTTATTATCCACGGTATATCACGTAAAAATCATATTATTTAAGTTGTAAAAAGTCATATACGTCTGCTATATAATTAACTTTATTTCACAATTATGTACAAACACAAATTGAATGTTTAATATGTTATGATATGTTATATAATATTGTTATTCAAATAAGGAACGAGAGATTTACCGTTGATTTTTAATAAATTATTTTTAGGTTAAATATTTCTTTTTCATGGTATATATTGTAATAGAGATTATCGAGGCAACTAATTATTTTAATACTTTTGTTTGCAATGCTATTTGTTTATATTAAACAATATTATAGAGTTGCGAGTTCCTAAAAACTATTGTACAGTAAATCTTTAATGCATAATAGAATTATTATACATATATTGCACATATTTTGCCACATTTATGCTAAAAAAATGCTATACGCATGAATAGCTAAAGAACAATTATTAGAAAATATTTATTCCTGATTATATTTGCGTGCTAATTTTAATTTCGTATAGAAAGAAAGAAAAAGAGCTAGTTTTTAATTTAAAATTAACTCGATGGTGTAGCCAACGATATATATGAATTATGTAAAACAAATGTTTAAATTTACCCATTGCAATATAAGCGCACCTTCGTTATTGAAAGATTAATCGTATAACCGTTGTCGGAAGCACGACGAATAATCTCGGAATGGTTTAAATATATATTAACATCCTTGCCGTCCACATATGTATGGAGAGGAGCGATTCAGAAACATTATAATTTATCGATTGATTATCTGTATCATATACTCAGAGCTCAGTGCACAAACTTGTGATGTATTGTAGAGAAACTGGAATTTAAATAATTATTAATATATCGCTATACATATATATAGTAATGTAATTGTATAAACTATACTTTATTGTACAGTAATATATACAATTTATCTGTATGATTATGACATAGTAGAGTAATATGAATGTTGCTATATGATATCTACAGACTTTATTTATAGTTTCGATTTATGTTGTTGCGGTAAAAATCCTTTTTAAAATTTGTGATTTCAGACAGTTATCGAATATATACAGGGTATAAATATCATAACAATGGTATGGTAAAAAAGTGAAAAGCACATTGGAAGGATAGAGAAAAAAAATAGTATGAGAAACTGATTCATGTTTTCTTTCTGTCTACACACATTTCGGATTTTTCTTTAAGTTTTATTATTGCTCTTTTATTGTTATTTAATGCCACTACTATTCTTAATTTTAGCATAAGCTGTTATTCCGTTATGATTTTTATATCTTAATACGTGAAGCTACAATCTAGTAATAACATTATAAAGAGTAGTTGTATATGTATTATAATTATGTATAGCAAATAAGAGACATATTATATAAGTAAAAATATGTTTAAGCTCTATACTTGCGCATTCTGCGAGTAATAAATTTATATTCATAATTCGCATCGTTTCTATGTGATGATTTGTTTATCACTTTTATTATTTTATCTGAGACAATTACACGCATATAATGCACGGTAACATGATGTGTAATTTTCGTATAAATTGCAACACTCAAGATTTATCTCATCAACGAACAAATTAGATCTGTTATAATTAGAGAAGTGAAATTGTCACAATATCCTTCTGTGGTATGGCATCTGAAAATCAAAGCAATTATTCAAATTGCAGGAGTTAGATATTTGTATATACAATGTAACATCCGTAATAAAAATGAATTCAAATAGATACTTATAAACGCACATTTATTCCAGCAGCAGCGAATACATGTTCAATACATATTGCTGTTAAAGCAACGAAAAATCACATGTTTGAAGGCTGGTGAATTCTTGAATACATTCGGTAAAGTTTACTAAATATTCTGTGAACAGTGTATTATGCGAAAAATGCATACAATTTCTATCGTTTGCGATACAACTTGCCGTTTCATTGAAATCTTTAAAAAGGATCTACACATATATATACTTCAGAATATTTATATACTCGTGCGATGGTGTTGGACAAATTTAATTATTTCAACTATATCTCACGTATTTACACATATCGATATAAAACTTTTTACATTATTTAAGTTAATAATAAATTGTTCCAGAACTCTTTCATGGTCGATAATGATCGTAAAAGCGCCTTGGAAATCTACTTGTACGTATTTGAATCGTATCGAAGAAATTGTTCTCTCAAGTAAGTTTTGTAGACAAATAAATACATAGCAAATAGCTTATACATGGTATGTAAAATAAATACAGAATCTCACAGATCACATTTTACATTCTACATTTTTAAGAAACATGTATAATCTATATTATAAAATTGAATATAATTTACAAATTCATACTTATGTAATGAATAATATATGACAAAATAATAATAACTATAACAATCTGCTTAATCTTGCTTCATGTTCTATATATGCAAAATGATACATATTTTTCATACATCTATTTGTCCCTAGAAAATTGTATTTAGAATTTAACTTGCCTTATTATAGATATGTAATTATATCACATTCTGCAATTCATAAAAAAAAACAAGTAACGTCGTAGATGAATCAAACGTATATGATTATGTATTGCTACAGCAGAGAGTTTTGAAATATGAAATATACAATTTATGTCAAAAGTGTACGGCTTAGCATATAATTAAATAATAATATAACAAGTTTTCAATTAAAATAGTCTGATATTGTAAACACATGAGCGTAAAAACATTAAGAGCAAGATGGCTGAATTGAAAATTAAAGCCAGAGATGTTTTGCTTCCTAGGCGACTAATTTTATTAGTAAAGTTCGCTTTAGACAATCGTCACAGAATTCAAGATAGAAAAACTATAATTTTATATACTACGTGTAATACATAAAATATTTAAAAAATCAGAATGCACATATAAAATACATGTCAATATGTACGTATGCGTATTTTTTATTTTTTAAACGTTTTTATGTATTCGCACACGTAAAATTAGAAGTAGATTTTTATCCCAAATTTTGTCGCAAATTATGGATAGTTAAAAGTGAGCTTAGACTATCCAAAGCATAAGCATTAACACTTTTCCGCTTGTCCATATCTAATAGCGCTATATATTAATTAAAAAAATTATAGATGCTATGTATATCAGCAACATACGGCTGCTCGAATATACATCGTATTACGTATTTTTAATTACACTTCTTACAAATTCACTATATTGAAACGTGTCGCAGCATATACATACATCTGAACGTCAGTTTTATAAATATAATCATAGTTCTTTACCAAGAACGATTATTATCAACCACTATGGTTCTTCCTTCCAATTCTATTATCGATGTCAGCTACTTTAGAAGATTTAACTATTTTAACGGAACATATAAAAAAAATGTTTATACATTAGGCTTCATGTTACTTTTATGCATAGACTTTATCGCATCTTACACACAAGTAACACACTGATGTATTACGTGCTTCTAACGAGTTATTGCACCGCGTAATACGTAATTCGAACATATACCATGAGATCGTATCATGTACATTCGATGTTTTCATTAAAAAAAGAAAGAAAATAGTGCATTTGGTATTATTTCTCCCGTTTGTATTCTTTCTGTTCGTCCGACGGTTCTTCGCGAACGGCTAATACCATTCTTAACATAAGAACGGCGAGTAACTTGTCTAGAGGGTCCATGAATCCTCGTTGTATCCATTTCGGTATCGTCGTACGCGCATGAGAGAATCCCAATTTTTGCAGGATATAATCGATGCCGTAAGGCTCTATACTCTTGCCGGCCCATGAGAGCAGTCTTGAATACAAATAGCGCGACAGTATTATCTTTCGCGCAATGTTATATTACATTTAAACAGTTACTTACCTTACTGTCGGTTCCAGATGCCACGTTTTACACCTATACGATCGCCAATCCTTTATAAACATCTCGGCTGGATCAAACTGTTTGCGTTTCTTCTCATCCTCGGAAGCGACGGACGCGCTGGAAACGTTAGCTGTAGTATTTGTAGTTTTTCTTTCTTGCGGATCGGGACTGTGCGCTCTGGCGCCCATGTTCTGCATTGTGTGCTGCGACAGAACATTTCGTAAGATATTTTTCTTGAAACAGGTAATATTCATATTTCATGATATTTTAGACGCATTCTCGGTTTGCGAATCCTTACCACTCTCTCTTTCTCCTTAACATATGAAGTAATAAGATCGTGCAGAAAGAAAAATGCTTCAGCGTCGACAGTGACAAATATATGATCCTCAAATTCCGTTATAAAGCTGCATTCGACTAGTGGTTTTTCGCCTGCAAATTCGGAATAATCAATACGACGAATAACGAATAGAGTTTCAGCGATAGCTTTTAGTCAAAACACTCTTATACGCACTATATTATTTCGGAGTTATACTAATAAAGCAATATGTCATACATCTAACTAAATATATATTAATTATTAATTTTCCATGCTTACTTGAGTATATTACGATTAACATTCAAAAAATGCAAGGAAAGAATCGATTCTTTTTTCATTCTTAATTTCAGAATTAATAAAAAATTTCTACATAAATTTATATTTCATGCAATTTAACTGTATAAATGCGCAGAAGACTTATGAATTTTAATCCGTTGTCGTCATTTTACAAGTTTCTCAAAATTATTTTTAAAAAAATCTTAAACATCGTTGTACCGATCGACAGATATCGTTCAAGTAAAATCGTTTTACTTAACATATAAAGCGTACTAAACAAATTTCTAACATCTCTTACCGTTTCAAACACAATAAACTTTATTCTGTACTTACTATATAAAATATGCTTAGGGAGTCCTAAAAATATACGAAAGAACCAATTGCAGGATAATTAGCAGTGAGAAAAAACACACATGTAATATCACGCTTAGTGCTTTAAAATGTTTCATACATAAACAGGCTTGTATTCGACGATACACATTCATTGATGTTAATTCCACAATTGCAAATAAAAATTATTGTAAGTAGTAAATTGTATGTCGTATGTCATCATATTCAGCTTATTTTTGGATCTGATTGAAAATTATACAGCGGTATATTCAGTATGTAACAGACTCATATAGAAGCAAGCAAGTGACATTACACAAATGTATATTTAAACGGTTACGTAGTGAGATCCTTTTAAAAATCGATTTCTTTTGCGTACCTATGACGTCCGGTGTTCGGGCGGTCTGCAAATGTTCAGTTTTCAAATGCAGCTGCAAGGAAGGCAGGGCGAATATCACCTCCCGCGTGTGCGAATGCTCCTGCAGCTTGCCGGACGTTGCGGACGTGCTTCTACCGCGCGACGCGTTATTACCGTCAGTTGTCGCAATGTCTATTCTGTCTCTCTCAACACAAGGAAATCTATCCACTGCTGTACAACAAAAAAAATGTCAGATGCGCAATATAATTTTACTGCGTGCAAATTCGGTACGCACCATCGATCTCACTGCTGGCGAATGCATAGTGAAACCATTCTTGTAAGGACTTAAACTGCGGCGGGAACAGGACGCTACGACTTAATCTACAGACAGTTGCCATGGAATGATGTCTCGCGTGCTGCTCCTGTTGGTGGCCGAGACTGATGGTTAACGTTTGCACGACGTGAACGTCGTACGTGTTGGGCGCTGCAAAGAGAGAAATGTATTTATGACGCGTCGCTGGATGGATAATCATACTTTGAGCACTTGAGATTACTTACTTTCAACATTCGGAATTTCTTGAGCCTCTGTGGCGAAACTTATACAGGGTTCCTTCAGCGAGAACAAGGCCCAGCTCTTGCTCTTAAAGTTGATTCCGTGGAAACACGCCAAGCTAATGTTACAGCCGTGAAGCTCCATTGTGCCGCCAAGGACAGTTCCGGTGGACGGTAAGGAGAATCTTAAGCTTCCTAATTGAAGACCAGCTACTTGGGCTAATACCCGTTGCCAGTGCCTGTGGTGTCTAGCGTCCGATATTGCGGTCTGATTTAAACTCCACGGACCTCCTAAGATAACTTTAATTAGCATCACGCATTCGAGAATCACGGTATACAAGGATAATAATCTCGGCTTACCATCAGCAGCAGATCTCTTCTTTTGTTGTCTCTTTTTAAAACTGCTGTTGTTCATCCTTTGTGCCTTTGGCTGCAGCGAGCTAAATACTCGTTTGCTACTCTTAAACTGTTGACTAAAGAACTCGTCTAATTTGTAAAACATTTTCAGCAGATCAGCTGTTGTTGATTTACTGATCATAATTTGCAATTGATCCCAGCCCAAGTCACCGTGCATGAAGATGATGGCGGGTCTGTGAAAAGATTCCTTTCCTTACATATTCATTGCTACACAACAGTATAACAAAGTGTGTAACGATTTGCTTCTAACAAAACAAAATTGAAATCTGCACAATTTTGATTGAAAAATCGACTAAAACGTACCGTCGCGTTGGCATGAAGGCATCTCCGCCGCTGCTACGATTAATTTTCCACTCATCTCGAAGAGTGACATCCAGCGAAGACACCCGGGACATTAACACGCTTGTTCCCATATAATCCAGCCGTAATTCTAGCGCAAACAATTTCAATCCTACTGTATGATCAGGCTCTATTCCCGGCTCCTCTCGAATGTGTACTGCAAGATACGTAATGAGAAAAACACATAATTAAATTCTTTATAATCTATCGATGTGTTAAATGTGTTTAACCGAGTAGAAAACTCACTGTAAGTATCGATTCTGCTCAGTTCAATTGTGCCGCCAACTATACCGCCTTTCGCATCCAGACTCGATCCTCCTAAGCCGATGCCTATATACAAGTTCTTGTGTCCTGTGCTGCCGATAGACAGTCTCCCATCCGATCTGAAGTCTTTGGTCATCCAGCTGACGTTACCCATCACATTCCCCATATTCATGTGTACATTTAAACGCGTAAAATTCACCGCGAACAACACCAATGTCTCCCACGCGGACTCCCTTAACTTGACTTCCGACGATACTTGCTTGTCCGTGGTGAAGCTCCATCCCCTTCCAATGTCTAATATAAAAGTAAAGTTTGTATAAGCTTTGAATTTAATTGGAAAAAAATGGAAATGGAAAAAAACAGATACCTTTTAATCGCGCGTGTCTTGGCGCATCATTTTCCAAGCTTAATTTCAATTTTTCTCTGTTTAATATGGGACTCCTTTCAGACGCGCTTTTGGATAATGAATCGCACGTATGTCTATCGTAATGCTTCAACAACGAGCTACCCATGACCGCTTCTTCCTGATTTAACGGAGGACTCCCATCGCCTTCGGCGTACGCGGCAGCGGTACTTAGATCACCCAGAAACAGGCGTCTCACTATGCTACGCCGATACCAAGCCTTGGGAAAGGCCAGAATTTCCGTCAATCGACGCATGTCGTATTTGAAGGAGGCAGATCCTATATCAATGATGGCTAAAAATTAATAAGAAAATTTATTAGAAAAACGATTATTCAAGTAAATATACCACTTGTATGCTTGTAACTTATCGATTCGCGTCGCATACGTACTTGAAAATCGTATGACGGCGCGGCTGGTGTCCGAGAGCTTCTTAAGTTGTTCACTTTGAAAGTTTAACTTCCTGCTTCTTGACAGGTGAAATTTGACAAATTCAACATTGATGCTCAACGAATCTTTTCTCTCGCTGTCTGACAATGGCGACCATTGCGCTTCTTTCAACCCCGTTTTCTTCCCGCCACCGTATGGGTGGAAAATATAAACGGAAAAGTCCGCTAAACAACCCGTGACGGATAATCCACCGATGGCCGCCGAGCCTGTTTCTTTGGCCGTTGTTGGTGATTTGAATTCCCGAAACTCTATCAACTCCTCCTCGGCCCGCTTCGATGAAAACACTATGTCGAGGGATGGTAATTGCAACATGCATTCTACTCGCGAAACAGGTAAGCATGAAAATCTGTAACAAGATTAGAATACATCGACAAATGTCAGCTTTGTACAAACTTGTGACAATACTCGCAATCTTTCTTTTACCTGAATGTGGATGGCTGCATATGAAAATATACTATCACGTCGACGGGAAAACTGGCGTAAACGTAATTGCTATTCGCAGCGGTGGCAGCCCACGATGTGTTTTCCGTATTTTCCAATAGGAAGCCGGCATTCGTTTGCGCGCTGCTTTGGAAATTATTTTTGCTTGGAATCGGTTCTAGAGTCTGTTCTAAAAATTCAAGGATGTGAGGACTAATAATAGTTTCCTCTGGAATGCTTTGAAGCGTCATCCAAGCGAAAAGACTAGCTTTTTTAGTGCTGGACTTCCTGAGCATCGTAATCGGATTCAATAAGCTATTGTCGGTAGATATGCGGGGAGATAAAGATTCTTCTGGAAGGGTTTTAGATTCGTAGTGAACCTGCGAAAAAACTTTTTCTTTATATCACTCTCTAAAATACCGACAACCGTCGACATCACAAATGACATGTTAAATTTTTTACCTTGACGTCTAAACCAGGAATATGAAAAATTGTTAAATCTACCAAAGGCACGCTTGTATGCTGCAAGTATCTTAATCGTGATGTGCTAGTTGTCGACGACTTCTCTTTGCTATTTAAATGCTTTCTGCTGCTGCTAGGACTGCTAGGTTGAAATTCGAATGTGCCGCCAGAACACGATCTTTCTTTCTTCATTCTACTCAAGCTGTAAAGAAAGGAAAAAGAAAAAAATTCTTTACATGGAAATTATATATATTATATTAAAAATTTTTTTAGAAAATTGAATTTAAAATATGACTCACACACATGTCACGATACGATACTTACAGTTTAATTTCATCCTCTCTTCCTGGATCTTTTGTGTGTAACACGCACTTGCCGCTGTTAATTAAAACTTTGACATCAAGTTCGAAGTCTATATTAGGCTCTTGAGTTTTTTGAGCGGTAATATATGGGGACGATGTCGATGAAGCTTGCTCTTTGCCAAATGAATCGAGTAATGGTGCGCTACGAAGAAACGATAACATAGTATATATTTTATTTTTCACAAACATGCATCTGTCTAAATTACCAAGGACACATACTTGCCTTCCATGCTGTCGTAACTAGACGTACAACTGATATCTCTATTCTTTTTCCTCAATTCAACTCGTTCACCTTCTATCTCGATAGTCTCTGGCCATTCTAATTCACCCTCTGGTAAACTTAAGTCAGAGCTGGCACTTGGTAGGGACGATTGCCTGCAAACAAAAAATTGTAAAAAGGCAAACTTATACAATTTTATTGCTGTGCGCGGTTTTAAATCTACCTGCACATTGTATGCGTATCGCTGAAAGTAACTCGTGGGCCACCCAGTCCTCTTACACGCAGGGAAGCTGATCTGTAGTGAGAAATCAATTTTTTAAGCACGTGCAAAATTGTAATCTGAAATGATCTCCAAAAGATTCCATCGCGAGAAATACATTTAAAGGTTTAAAGAACTACATTTGTTATTACACATGTGAAATGCGCATACCGACTGGGACCGCTTCTCGGGCTGCTTTCGTAGCTGGCCGAATTTGCTGAATTAATTTCCGTATTCATGTCTTCCGGGCTTTCTAAATGATGCTCTGGCGTGGGCGAGGGTACAATAAATGATCGTGAACGATAAGTGTTCGTTTTGCTACCAAGACCTAGTTTACCCTTGATACCGGAAGCTTTCACAGATTGCCTCCTCAACTTTTGAATCATATCCCTTAAAGACATATTTTCAATAAGTCAAAACGTGCAATTGGAAAAAAGAGTTGTTTCGTGACATACCTTCTGAAATCTTTGAATACCATCGCTTCTAATTCATGTAGACGCTTCATTTCCTGCTCGATTGTTCCATGCGAAGCGCCCAGCGATCGCAAATCGTTAATAATTTTGGCTTGTTCGTTCATTTCTTTCTCTATCAATTGCGATCTCTTCTTCGCGTCGAGCGTGGGATCAAAGATGAATGCCGGAAGACTGTCGGTCCAATTTTTCGATTTTTTCATTAATATACTTTCCTGTAAATACATATATCCCATTTTAGAAAAAGTTTTTCTGCTCTAATTTGATACTAAGATATCTTTCAATAACGAGATTTAGAGATAGATATTGTAAATGTTTTATTTCTTAAAAGAATATGGTATCAAAAATGAGTATCAAGTTATTATTCTATGCTTGTGCTAATCTTATCGTCCATTTGTATTCAAAATATCTCAAAATCTCATAAATTTAAGAATATTTTAGTATCGCATTAGAGTGAGATAAATAAATTTAACGAGAAAATACGTAATATATAAAATAAAAGCAAAAGATAGAGCACAGAACAATATAAGAACTTACATAATTTTTGTTACACTAACTTCGTTCATTTATACATTACTTACATAAGCGTAATGAAAAGTTCGCGCATATAAAAAGCGGAAAATAAAATTAATTAAACCATACTTTTTTCTTAACCTGGCTAGTACTGTTTTCCGGTTGATCTCCATCATCGCTGTCATAATCTGCAGGAATATGTATGTCGTCTTCTTCTTCGGAACCAGTCAGCATTGTTAATGTGTGTCCAAGAGCTGACAGCTGTTGTCCCACGCTAACATCTAGGTGAATATCAACTCCTTCCATTTGCCATTGAACATTCAAGATCCACTTGGCATTATCTGGAAAAAATTAATAATTTTCAAGATGTAAAGACTCGCGTATGTTTCTAAAACATGACGGCATATTTTTATGAAAAATACAAAATCGTACCAGATTTGTCTTGTTTCTGCGCGACAGTCCTACTACATACTTCGTAAGTGCCTTCTGACACGACGCACAAGTTCATAATATTGCTATCGGTCATATCCGGTTTCCAATCGTCCAAGGAAGTTTCAAAATCCTCTGCAAACCTCAAGCACAACCCTACAAATCTAACGACCAAAAATATGAATGTCGTATCATTACATTAATAATTTTAGCAAGCATTCACACACACACACACACACACATACCTTCCTTTACTAACTAGACTACCGCTGCTACATGCGGATATGCTTGTATTTTCAAGCGTCACCACAACAGCACCGCGCGATTCCCCATCGTAGAGGCCCCTATTTAATTTCCAATTATTCGGCGGTAAAGGATTAAGCGGCAAACAGAAACCCATGTCGTCGACCGTTAATTGCAGAAATAATGTTCCAAGGTGAGGCGCGCTGAGCTGACTTGTCAGCTGCCCGAACGGGACTTTCTCAAACACTTGCTGAGTGGCAGTTAGCACTTCCTTGTTCAAATTAGATCGTTTCTCGTTCCAATATTCGTACGCGTTTTTGTAATTTAACCAAACGAGTATAGCTTTGTCAATGGCCATCGGTTGTATGTAAATCAACGGACGTTTAAGGGTAATTAAAACCACTTCCTTGTCTTCGCCCTGAGCCATTTCCTCTTGAAACGCATTGCGCAATCCTATTCTAGTGTTGAAAAAGGCAAACTGTTGAAATTCGGGCTCCGCTTCCTCAAACAAGACATTCTTCAGTAGTTGTCCCAGACTCAGATTAATATCGACTTGCGCCTTGCCAAATAATTTCATGTAGGGATTGGGTTGTGTAGCTCCCGAAACATTTTGCACCCTGTTGGACAATTGAAATTCTACCGCGCCGGTTTCCAGTCGCACCGCTGAATTCGTTGGAGTTGTTGCAGTCAATTGAATCCTCTGTAAAAGAATAATTTTTCTTCGAGTTTTTCTAGCGAATATTTTTTGTCATTAATAAAAAATTACCCGCGAAATAGTTAGTGACAAGTCCACGAATGTCGATTGCAAGCATTCAGCAAAACGCAGCAAGTATCAAAAGATTTGATAAAAATATTTCTTTACCTTAATACGTATGATGAGCGAGAATAAAATTCGCTTCAAGGTTGACACAGAATTGGTTGATTCGTCGTCTTCGAGCCACAGAGGTACCGGTTTCTCACCCCCATACACTTTCTGCACCACCTCGTTTACTTCCTTCATAAATACTTTTTGCACAAATACCAAATGATTCAGAAGGTCCGTCGTCAAGGAATGCTCGAACACTCCGATATCTGCAGTCGCGCTCAGATAGCTGCCTTGCCTCAATACGACACCGTCTGCGAAACACAAAAAAAATCAAGAATTATATTCGAGTACGATTATAGAAACATAAAAACACACGCACAGGATTATTTACCTGCCAGTTTGCTATCGTTCAAATTACTACTCCCGTCTTGAACGTATTCGGCCGACACGTGAACTTTAGGTAGCTCGATACTCGCCTCAGACGGTAGATTCGCTTCCGTTACTTGCAGCTTCGTCGTGAAACTCAGATTGTGATGAGGCAGGTCTATGGTGAATTTGGCTTTGCTGCCCGTTATGCCGGAACTGTTCACCTGATCCATTTTGTACTGCGCTTGGAGAGACGGTAGCAACGCCGCGGTTATACTTAGACTTTGAAGTATTATGTGGAATTGCATGACGATAGGTTCTAAGAGGCCGGACACTGCCTGCGGCTTTTCCACATCGATCGAAGGAGCTGGTGCGTAATGATGCGGACTGCCCGGAGCAGCGTCCACTTCGTCCTGCTGTTGCCCTCGTGACACTCTCGATGTCGTTCTACTAACTCTTAATTCCTAATAACAAAGTCAAAATTCACGCAAGCATTAATTTCGCACCATCGTTTAGCTTTTATTAACCCACAATATGATAAAGTAACTTATGGTTCTTCAAGAATAAATAACAACGGAACAACCTAAGAACGCGGATGTCAAAGTGCAAAAAGTATTATAAATTAATATACAAAAAAATATTTTTTAATTTTGATTTGTGATTTTTCTGTACATTAATTCGTATCTCTTGCGCTCCAGCATCCTATCATCCTTTTTGGTTCTTGGGGCTTTGTCTGTTGTTCCACGATATAATACTTGAATGCCGCTGTCAAATTAATGTCTACCTGTAATGTCGACGATAACTGCTTGCTGCCTCTGGTCATCATGCCGTGTAGGGCTACAGGATGCTGCGGTATATCGATATTCACAGCGCCAACGGTCAACAATCCGCTATTCTTGTCCTTCTGGCGCCGCGTGATGCTAGAATACAGGGCTTGCGACTTTCCGACGGTAACTTTCACGACTGTCTGCTGACTCGGCGCAACGCCTTCCAGTAAGACAATCATAGTTCTGCCGATCTGTCCGGTCATACTGCACTCTAAACTTGCGGGCCGCGATTTCTTGCGGCAAGTCAAGCTGGCGTGCAGACTAGTGATCTCCGCTTCGAGCTTCAAACCGCTTAAAGTAGCCAATAATCTAGTTCTATGAATCCGCGTAACACCGAAGATAATCAATCTCGTTCGTTCGCCTGTCACGATGTCTGCAAATCACAAAATAACATTCGATACACAAGTGTTGCACAAATGTGCCCACACGTAAAGTTACGTCTCGTTAACACTTACTTAATTCTCTCGACGGAGGGACAGGTGTCGAGTTATTCTCCGCGTTCAATCCTTTCTCGATATCGGCATCCTTGGTTTCGTTCAAGATCTCGTACTTCCTCCCGCTCTTGTAGTGTTCCGCTGCGTCCGCGGGTATCGAGAATCGATGGGTGATGGTCTTGGTTTCCGGGCGAGTTGCGTACAGATCCAGAAGGTAGTATATGGTTTTCCAGCATCGCGGTGTCAAATGCGTGCTGTCTTTGCACGTGTCCGGCAATACCGTGAATTTGTCCAAACCGGAGCCGCTCGGGCTCGCCCCGAAACTGGGCGTGATCACGCCTTCGCTTAGATTGATGTAGCCCTTGACACTTTTGCCGGTACTGCGTAATTTTTGCGCGAAACTTTGCGGTCGAGATCGTACAGTCGCGCCCGGCAACGCCTTCGACTGGTTAGATCCGAAGCTGCTGCGAAGCAACGGCGCTTCCATCTTCTTGCCACCAACGAGGAACTGTTCTTGCAAGTCGGACGCTAAAAAAATATCTTTCTATCAATTATAATATTTGACAATTATCTATTGTCAATTATAATATTATACATATGCGCATATAATTATTTATATCTAATAAAATACAGCGTATTTACTTGATGACGAGCCGTTTTTCGCAGCGGTGTCATTGACGATTATGTTAGCATTGCGTTTTGCTTCAGGTTGCTGCTCTTTCAATTCCATCTGCGTCTCTTTAACATTCTGATACATGTTGCTTATCTGATGTAATAATCTAAGGAGTGGCATATTCACTTGTTGACTTATATACCGAATGTTTAAACTAATGTTGACCACTGTGCTGGTATGTTTCTTTAATTGACCCCTGGATATGTATAAAACGTTTTGCTTTTGTATCATATCATCCACCGTCATATCGGCCATTTTTTTAACATCGATATCGACGCCGATCCTTTCGCATAAAAATGCCGGTGTCTCTGGTGGTATATCAAGGTAAAACTTGCAGTTAGTTCCCTTCCTTGGCTGATTTGGTAATTTGTTATCTATAAACGTTAGAATAAAAAAAAAGAGTATTATTTGTGAACGTACAATCGATGAGTACAATCATTTTTAATCATTTCTATTACTTTTCTTTTTGTCTGTTGTCACTTTTCCAAATTCGCTCACGACTATGTCAATGCGCATGGTGTCCATACTGCCTACAAGAGATAAATTTGAGCCCAATGAATCTAAGGAAGACATATTATTTACATTTCCTGATCCAATGACTGATAACATCTGCTGTGGCATAACTGATAAAGACGACAGAAGCGGCTCAAAAATCAGATGCGCATCCAACAGTCTCAGAGAGTCTTTCATTGGATACAGAAAAGCACCGCTCTGTATGTCAGAGTCTTCAGTGTCGTCGGTGGTCATAGTGTTAATTTTTGAATCCTGGAAAAAAAATTTTACTTGATTTGAGGCAACAAAGTTTGCAGCACAGCGAGCAGCGCTTAAATGTACCTTCGTAGCCTTTTGCTCTGTACGAAAGACCTATGTAAGCAAGAACGAAAGTCAGCACGCAGACAACACGTTTTCAACATATATAAATCTTTACACATTTTCACAACATTTCTTAAACGTTGTTTACATTTTTTTATCAATATGGAGATAATACGGGAACTGCACCTACCCAGTTTCCTTTCAAGTTTCCTTTGTCATTATCCTTTATAAACTCTTGCTGTTTCGCCATCCAGCTATAAAGATCCTCCCCCGTATTTATTGGTTTGGTGGAATGACTTGTGGGAGATGTGACTTGGTCTAAGCTTCCAGTGCTGTGTTGACTACCGTGGCCTATGCCTCCGGAATAGATGCTAGGATTGGAACCAAGTTGGTGCGAATGCGAAATATGAATTTGCGGAGTCTTTTCCTCTCTCAATGTTCCGTAACCTGATGAAAAAATAATTTATAATTGCAATAAATGTAAAATCGCAGATATTATTAATGTGATAATGATAAAAAGATTGTAGAAACTACAAACAAAATGGTACAAATACAAATGGCAATACAAATACGGCAATAATAAAAATTCTCCAAAAGGAATTAACATTCCGGAATATTAGTAAGAAAAGTTATAAATGTAAGTGCAAAATCTTATAGTAATAATTATAAGCAAAAAAAAATAAGATTGCGCATAATTACAGTTTAATTATTCCGAGTATTTTATTCAAAAGTAAATTGCTAATTACTAGCTACTGAGAAGATTAAGTTGCTGTACACTTACTTATATTATTTGGTTCTCGTGTTTGACTGAACAGACCACCAGTGGTGAGCAAGGGGAAAACGATACTTGCACGTGTACTAGCAGGTACTTGCGTTGGTTGCAACGTTTTTCCTCTCTTTGGAAGAGCTACGGGTGGAGAGGGGGAGGAGAATGAGTCCGGGCCTGGAACTGGTGTTGCTATAGGGGTCGTGTCTTTCCCGCGAGGAGAGCTTACAGGAACCGTCAAGCCATCACCACACACACCTGGTCATTGCCACACGAAGCCAAGAGGCGTTTGTATCAGGTAACATTATGTTCGTTAATTGCGGGATTAACAAGCTAATTGGTTGCTAAAGCACAGTGTCTTCAGAAAAGGGAGAAGAAGCGTTAAGCGAGAAACATACATAAATACGTTCATGTATACAGGATTAGTAGAGAAAGCCTTGAAAGCAAAGTAACCTCTTGACGGAGTTAAATATACAGATATTCTGCGAGACGTAACAGCATTTTTGAGAATCAGTCAACGAAAGATGTACATACAAATATAAGAGAGAAAGACTCGGAAAGTTTTTAGTTATTTCATATATGCTTCTATCTGTGTGATTTGGTTTTTCTAATTCTATATGAGTCCATGTGTGAAATATTTTATCTTACAGCATTCAAAAGATATGTTTCTTTTTGCTTTATCTTACAGTTACGAAGCATTACTGTAATAAACAATATACAGGCATGGGGAAAGTAATTACGCTCGTTACGATTATTATACATGCTGTGGGAATAATTTAGTTATTCAGATAATTTCTTTCTTCAAATTACTCTGCCGTTATTAATTATTATTTATAGTGTTGTGTTATAGTGTTGGAATTGTAACTTGTAATACCTGATGTTTTATCTTGTCCGCCTTTGATGTGTGTGTGTTTGTGCATATGGTCCGTGTGGATGAGCATAGCACATTCATCTGTCACTTCCTGATCATCAACATCTCCTGCACTACCCTCCCCATCCGTCAATAGATTCTCCTATAAGTATCAGTGAAGCAAAATCCCAAAAATATTCTTTAGTATTTCTCGTGGCCAGTTTTTGTGATATAAAATAATTTTAAAACTTATGTATTTTGCTAGTGTTCACTAAACTTTTTTTCTCAAATTTCCCGTATACTATCTTGTTTCAAAAGCGCTTTAAAACCGATCTTGTCAGACAAAAAATAGCAGAATGTTCCATTATGATTAATGGTTTTGATATATATAAATTTTTTATAACAATTAAAGGGTTTTCAAGCTGTTTCGTATATAATTATTCATTAAATAGCCACATTTATATTCCGTAAGCATTACCGCACCTGCACCTATGCGCATGAATGTGTGATGTATATACATCACAATGTAAAACAAAAATTGCTGCATTGGACATATATTACAGCTTGTTAAAAAAGCAAATATTTGTAACATATCTCTTAGTGATTATTTGATAATTTTGCAAGAGAAATTTTGAAGCATATAGCCCAATTTTATCTTAAAAATAATTGTTATAATGCAGAATTCTGTAAAAATACTTTTTTAAAAATTCTTACTCCTTTTCACAACGATTTCTTCTTCCACTTCTATCCTATTTACCTTCTGAAAGAAGAAATTCCTAACAAATAATACTTTTCTTATTCGTAACTTTTAAAAATTGAAAAAATTTTAACTTTAACATTTAGAAAACATCATGTATTGTGCTCGCACATTTTCAAAAATTCGATAAGCCATAAATGTTTAAATCGTAATTGCTAGATATTTATTAATCTACGTGTAAAGTGTATATATATATTTTTTTTACCTCGTCCGGATCAGACACTGCAAATGTAACATTCAATGGTTTAACGTGTTTAGTTTTGTAATTGTGCTCCAGCAACAACGGTGTGTAAAGTACATTTTTCCATTGTCTGCTCAATACAATGACGCCCTAATGAAAATCATGGAAATATAAAATTAATATATCGCGCTTTTATATATAAATTATAATTTATGCGAAGATATGTCACACGTCAATTGTTTAAAAAATGATTACCTGTCGCAAGGTGGAAAGAAGTGGCAGATCGGATTCTTTCAAGTTAGCCTCGATATTCGCTATTTCGGACAATAAAACATAATTCTGTAATATAGTACATAACTGACAAGAAGGATCCTCCTGTAGTGTTTTCGCCAATGGTGTCAATCTTCCGTAACGGCTCTATGCAAAGTTAAGAATGTTAGAATGAACGAAACGTTCCTCGTAGCTGCATTAATGTAGCATTATGTATATACCTTCTGAGGCATATGAATTCCTTGTACGTCTAACGCTTCCGCCATCAGACAGGCGACAATCGCGGTGGATCTCCGGTACATCGTGCGGAACATATGAACAATGCGAATCGCAAATTTATTACTTGGATTCATCCACGCGTTGATCGCCGGCGATGCTGTGCTCAGCAGATTCCAATCTAGTCTCGTGTAATCGATTTTTCTCGTTATCGGCGTGCGTGGAGGCGCGGCGAAATTAAACCATACCGTTTTCAGTTCAATAACGCACGACACGGTATTGCCGTTCGATACCTTAGATGCAAGACTGGTGCAGGTAGCGCTCATGTTCATTTGGGTGCCAGTAGCCGCACTTGCCGGCTTGTTTCCGCCTCCGCGGTAGTAGTTGCCGTGGACGCTGAAAAGTAAAATGAGTGAACACAATGTGGATATAATAATTGATCGATGCATTGTCGGCTTTTACCAGGGGTGTTGTTATCCAAGTCCTCTTGGCTTTTAACGCTATCTGTGCAAAATATTTCAGTTTCAGTCTTCTTATCGCCGTCTCCGTTCTCTCCTTTCTCAAACTGAGATCTCTTGACCACTTTTAGTTTGATTCCTTCCAATCCGCATTCGAACATGATGAATCCTAATCTATCTTCTCCACATCCCATGGTAAACTCTTCGGTAGCTTGCGGCGGTCCGCTTTGCTTCTAAAATGTGTACAATAAATCGCATTCTCAATAATACGCATTCTTATTGAAATAATATTCCAACAGAGATCTACGTACATTCTGCTTTTCTTTTTCGTCTACCAAGTGATGCAGATAATAATCAACACATTTCAACGGCGACGTCATTCTTGTGCAAGTGAATAATACTTTGGAGTAATGCGCAGGTATGGCAGTTATTACTGCATCTTTCAATATCGAAGATTCATTTCTCAGCCTTCTCAATTGAGTATGTGCTTTGCCTGCCGAAAATGACAATTTTACGTAATCGTGCAATTTGAACGTATCGATTTCACTTATTTATTTACCGATATTTAGCGTCACTATAATTTCTTCTTGCTGCTTTTCCGATGTCTCTATGTATACCGTCTCTCCTCCCACGTCAGCTACCACCGCGGCAGTTTGATGTCCAGGCAAAAACGCCTTACTGATTTTATTCACCTTCTTCTGATTCGGCAATGCAGCCGGTTTGTGGAAAGTTTGTACAACCTCCCGAGCCTGTTTTCCCAGATAGAACCTAGCGGTGACATCGTCGAGACAAATCGCAAACAACGAGACGCACGTCAAGTCGCGGATGTTTTCTAACGCGGAGAACGATATGATTTCCTCAACGACAGACGCTTGTAACAACGTTAGGTTCAACTGAAAACAGTTTTCAATATAATAGCAATGCGAAATTAAATAAAAGATAACAATGTAATGTGAATACGGTTCTATGTATTATAAAATAAAATTCTATAACAAGAGCAAACTGTCGCGCCAATATCAGATGTTTATGCACATCTTTGTGTATTGAAATATTTTAGTTCACCGATACGTTTGTAAGCTAAAATAAATACACGAAGCGTGCACAAACATCTGGCATTGATCCAATAACTCACTTTCCTTATAGAATTTGACACACAAAAGATTGTTCATCATTTATTACGCAAAATTATTATACCTTCGGTAAAATAATACTGCCTTGTATTTGCGTCGTGATGCTTTCTTCATAGACATTTGTCTGTAGCGCAATTTTGCCTGTTGAAAAAAGTTATACATGCAGATTGACTTGATTGGAATGTAGGAAAAACTGTAGATAAAAAGTGATATTTTTCATTACCTTGACCGTTTTTAAGATTCCGTTCTGCTGTCGATCGCTTCGAACTGGTTTGGACTTGACTCCAATACGACAAACTTTGATCCTGCTTCAAAATGTTCGCGTCCTCCACTTTGCCTATGCATTCGTTGTGAAGATGATTCAAGATCGTTAACGGGTGTAACGTGGCCAAGGTCGGTATGATACTGTCGATGAAGCGCTGAAGCGACTCGAGAACCATGGGGCTCAGCATGATGTCGACGTCTCCTTTAAATTTGACGATGACCGTCGTGCGCGATCCGCTTTCGTGCAGTATCGCTAATAATTCCTCCTCATTGTGCATCGCGTTACCATCTTGACCTGATTGTACACATAAAACTTTAGATTTTCTCGAGATTCCTACGAGTATATACGATTCTCAATGGCGCTATACCTTCTGTTTGATTTAAAGACGCGTCATCCCACAGATAAGGATGCGTAGGTGTTTTGTTGGACGAGCTCGCGATGGGCGAGCCGTCGCATCGAGTTATCATTTTCAACGACGTGAAACCTTCCGTGACTGTCTCGAGTTTCGGTACGTATCGTCCGCCGACGTAAATTAGCCTGCCGTCGTCCGCGCGTTGGAACAGCGGGGTAGTGAACGCGTCGCCGCCCGAAGGCAGTGACGACTGATTCCAGTTTGAGCAGCGAACCTAACATTATTTGTTCTGCGCTTAGTTTACATATACTGCTTTTACAATGCTGTTCGTATTACATAGTGACACGCATATGAAAAGAATCGTAAACGCAAAGTGAGTTTGTGTTAACGCAAAGATACCTGTGTCAAGTGGCTAACATAACTCGACATCAATAACGGCGAGTCAACGATTGGTTTGTTCACTTGCATATGTAGATTCACAAGCGTGACGTCTTCTTGCGACGATACGGCGGAGATAAAACTTGTGGACGACACCGAATGGCTGTCTGAGGAATCCTGTAAGCCGCAGTTTTCCGTTTGATCGCCGTCATTTTGAAAGCTGGCGTTTCGATTGATTCTGGGGCTCCTTTTTGTGCTCAATATTTGCGTCTTCGCCCTCTCCAACGTGTGCGCTTTATCCGCCACCGAGAAATTCACATTGGTCGAGCTCTCAACGATAGATAGGTCCGAGGAGAATTTTTTCTTTATGCTATCATTGCGATTTAAAACACAGCCGGAGCCGACGATGGACTGTCGTAAGCTGGACGTGCGACTTCCGCTCAATCCGTGGCTCATGTCCTCGTCGGCTGAGTAAAATGCCTCCGAGTGATTCTCGGACGACATAGATATCGTTCGTTGTACCTGTAAACACACACGCGTAATGTAATTGTAATGAATGTATCCAAAGCGAAGTTTTGTATTTTTTCGTATCTTTACCGCTCCTTTCTTTACCTCCTGCTTTAATCGTTCTTCCGAGTTTGTTCTCGCGTATAACGAATGATGAGAATCCGATACGTTCACTCCTTCGCTCCCGTCTCTCGCAGTCGATCGCGTGGACGCGGAAAGATTAAATTCAGTTGGAACCGTGGGCAACGACTGCGGACTGCTCGACCCGAGCGTTTCCGCGTTTTCCGTCGCGGTGAAATAATCTACAGCCAATTTGGAATCGGACACGCTACTCTTGGGTATAGTTTCGATCTCTGGTACGCTTAAAATGGATTTACTGCGTTCCGCGTTTAATTTAGAATCGGAATCCAATTTTTGGGGTAACTGCACTACAGGACTGGCATCAATCAGACGAGAATATGGTACATCTTTCGCATTCGGTCCGCTATAACAGAAAAATTTATAAGTCAGTACTTTTCAAATAAAGACACTTGTCTGATTATCGTAAAATTATATTCTTTCATAACTTTTATGCTAATTAATTCACTCAACACTTTACTACTTTAGCTTTGTTAGTGACGTGGAATGGATTATAAAATAAAATATATAGTTTTAGTGCAAAATATCTAAATTTTAGAATCTATCGACAATTGAAAAAGTATTGTCTACCATTATCATGCAATGTCAAAAAACAAAATACATATTTGAATCGTTTCGATTCGATTAAAAAGACCATTGTAAATTCGTAAAATTACCGCATTGATGTATAAGAGAATCTTCTATCCAGCGGTTTTCTGTCCCCGCTGGGTATCAGTGGACTTGCAGACGCGACGTTTAATTTCGTGCTACTGTTTTCTTCTCTATTATAATCGGCCAAAGATCTTGACGCTTCGACACTCTTCTTCAAAGTTTGCGTGCCATCTTGACTGACTGTTACTTTCAATCCCGTCGTAGGATAATATACATCTTGCAAGGATATATCCTGCAGACTGTACGGTGGTGTGTGAAATACTAATTGACCGTCGTGTAAAATGGACTGTCCGAATCCTTTCTCTTTTCCAGGTTCGTGAATTCTAAAAATGGAATAACAATTTCATAAAATAATCAAGAATATTGTAAAAAATAAAAAACTAACAAACCTGAAAGTCAGTCAATAGGAATTTTTTTCTCAATACGTAAAAATAAATATCTACCTATAAGCAGCAATGTTGATACCATCTTGAAGATCGTGGTAGCTCGGCTTAAAAAATCTTGGTCCGTTTCGATTATTGCCGAAGAACGCACAACCGCCTATACAGCCGCACTTTGTCGCCTTCACCCCGCTTTCCTGCGGCCACAAAAACCACAAACGCTTCGTTGCCTCGTCGTGCATTTTTAAATATTTATTTTGTACTAAATGCAAATTGTGTTCCGGAGTCGGAAGGGAAATCGCAGCTTCTAAAATAACCGGACCCAGTGATATCGATCCCACCTCAAGCCATATATCCGATCCATCGCCTGTAATAAATATTAGAAATATTAAGTTTCTTTAAAAAAAAAAGTTTCTTTTATTGAAATATCTATTAAATGCATATCATTAATATTATTCTCTTTTATAAACATTTAAATATGTTGGCGCAAACAGTAGTTCTTTCTCATCAGACGATAGATAAATACAAAGGATACCTGACATTCGACTGCTTGCATTATTATGAGATCTTCCGCTGCCGGTTGTATTAGTATTACTTGTATTTGCGAAATAATCCGCCGCGGACATAAACTGTCGAATTGATATTGTAGGTAAAACCGCGGTGACACCCGACTTGACTTGATGCCCGTGAAGATTACAAGTGGCAACGCGGATCGGAGATATCCAAAACTGCATGACAGTGCCCATTTCTTGCAGATATAAATCAACGGCGTCTATGGACAGTCTCGTCATTCTATACTTTATATCCTCGGAGCTCGGACATCTAACATAAAATTGAGATTTAATTCAATGGCAGAAATGATCGATAATCCTTGTTATACAATAAAAGAATGTACCTGTAATGTTTGTCGACATCACTCTCCGGACACTGCAACGGCGGGAGACCGTGGTGGCATTGGAACGGCAAATTAGGCGGACGCAAACTGTTCTCGGTGTTCTTCGCCATCAGCAGGAACGTCTCCAACGATGTAACCAAGTGATGCAACTGAGGAGAAGTGATTTTGCCGCTCAGTTTGCCCAGCTGCACCTCGATCAGCCACGCGTACTCCAATGTCTCCTGATCCAAGCTCCGCCCTTCGTTGCTGAACATGGCGTGGCCCCTAACTTGCAGCGCGCTCAGCATTAGATGCCCCTGACTCAGGTGATGCTCCTTGTTTGGCCTCGCTACGTTATCCGTAACTAGAGCGATGGCAGGCGAGAGCAGCAGCTGAAGCTGCGTTTCCCTGTAGCCCTTTCTCATCTCAAATCCGAAGCGTTCCAGCAGTATAACCGGACACGGCGGATCGTTCTCGTTGCAATTCTTTACGAGATGCGCCTGAATGTCGTGCATAGTGACACCAACGGTGACTTCGAGTGGCCTGTAATCTCGCGGATCAAACGGCTTAGATTTCACTTCCTCGTCTTCCATGGACGCCTCGATGCTGCTGTTCTGCACATCCTTGTCTTTATTTCTGTCCGCGGCCGCCGAACTGCTTCTGCTCTGCTGCATATCGGTGAAGGTTTGATAATCACCGAACAGGTTCTCCTTTAAGTGCATAAAGTTCTTTAACAAAGACCCGTATACGATTAATATGGACGGTCCGATTTCGAGTTCCACGCTGACTTTGTCGGGCGTTATGGACTGCGGGTCAAATTTCTGCGCGCCGTTTCTTCCCCATTGCAAGCCCGGCGATTTTCTGCATTTCGGAATTCGCATGGGAGATAAAAGGATCTCCTCCTTCTCCGGAGTTGTTATATTGGCTTGCGGGGTGGGACCCAAAGGTGGACACAGGTGATAAATATAATTGATACTCAACGCCACGATCGGCACGAACCAACAATCAACCCATCCCGATTCCTTTTGACAAAAATTCCTCCATTTCTTGCCTCTGTGTAGTTCATGCAGATACTTGTGAGATCCATCGCGCGTCATAATTTTCGCGTTCTTATTTAACGCTAACAAAATAATACGATTGGTGTTGACCTCTGGCAAATAAAATGAAAGATCGACACTCTCTCCTTGAATCCAAAAACGCAATGGTATGGTGACGGGTAGAAAATCCAC